GCAGCTCAGCTGCATTCCTCCGAAAAACTCAGAGCCTGTCTTGAACCCCACACCACTGCTCCTGTGAAAGAGCCATTGATGGAGAGATGGTATGAATAGACAGAGGGATGCAGAAGGGAAGAATGCCAGCCATGGCAGTATAAGCTTGGAGCCTTGGCGAGCAGCAGCCGAAGTAGAAAGAGCCAAAAGCGAAGGCATGTGGCAAAGACATCCCATCATATCAGAGTAGCGGAGTGCCCTTAGGACAAAGTCCGGCATCAAAGTAAGCTCCGAGACAGCATAAAGGTTTAAAAGTAAAAGCAGGGTTAAGGAATATTTTGTGCAGGTTTTTGCATAAAATGTATATGTATATACATAATATACATTTTTTTTTATTTTCTAGTTACTTAATTTAAACAGATCCTTAACACAAAGAGAAGACTTCATTCAGGTTATAATGCCTTTAGCTCAGAACTCTACAATCAAATTTATTGACCAAAAAATGGCATTCATTAATGTAAAAAAAACACACCATCGAAGCAAACTTAAACTTTTCAGTTTTGTTGTACAATACAACCGCAAACCCCAATGAGAGGTGTGGCATACCGTTTTAATCAGCTCAACATGGCCGTTGGTTACTCTAGAGGGACTGCAAAGATTCACAGTTCAGGAGCGAGGATTTGTTTAACTTATTCATGTGCTTTACAAATATGATATTTTTTGAAAAGTGGTAAGAAAAAAGTATACTCTACTTTGCTTTAGTCTGTCACACAAAATAACAAGTTTATGATTGGGACATGACCAGATGGCTGTGAACACTATGACAATGTAAGTTAAAGGTAAACTCAATATTGAGATCTGGCTTCAGAGAGGAAGACTTGGATGTTGCCTAGGAATGGCCTAATGTGAGTTTGTGTTCTGGGAGTTAAACAGTGATATCCATCGCTGCTACCCAGGAAGGGAGAGGTCAGATAAGGCAGGGTGCGGAAGCATGGCTGCCATGTCTGTCTTGGCTGTTACCTAACCTTGCAGGATTTGGCAATATGGGCATGATGGAGAAAGGATGCCACTGCATTCCAAAGTTTAGGAATTCAGTGTTAATTTGGTTTTCAAATTATCTCAACCCTCAACTGTGCGCATATTTACATCACCTGTGGTCTTTGATATAATGTGTCTCTGCCCAGACTTCTAATAATGCCGTCTTCTAGCGGGTGTTGCTGTAAGCTTGATGATAAATGGTCTCATTACTACACTGGTCAGCATCCTGTCTGTACATCTGCTCCATCATACATGCTGATGATGCTACAGTATGTGATACCATGTTAACAGTTTACAACTTTTCTTTTAAGGTTTTTATTCTTAGGTCCAGCAGATTCTGCAACAGTTTCTTGCCCACTGCTATCACATTGCTGAACTCTAAATCATGTCACAGACTCACACTGCTAACACCAAACGAAAAATACTGCATATTTGCACCATACATATTACTGCTCTGAACTTCCATATGAATGCATTTTTTGCACTAGTTTCCTTTCTTTCTTTTTTTTCTCCTGCACAATTTACATTTGATCACTGCTGGACTTAATGGAATGGAAGTGTTCATTTGCTTTCTGGAAAGCTGTACCAAAATAAATGCTGTTTTTCTATACACTCTGTGTATACAAATTACTTTTTTATTTTCTGTATCCTAATCTTTGCCCATAATGCCAGCTGCTTCCAGCTGAGCCATCTCTGTTCTAACAAAACACTCAGGCTCTCTCACAGAGAACAACAAAATGCTGTAAACTGTTTTTTTCTAAGTGAATAGTTTCCCCTGTATCTTTGATCCCAAGTGGAAAATTTATTCCACAGGGAGCAGACAGGGGATGGTAGGAAGAGCGACTGAGGCCCCAGTGGCAGAGGAGGATGGGGGAAGGACCCAGGGAGGAACAGTGGGAAGAGGAAGGATTAAAATAAGTGAAATGCAGCCCATGACAACTTGACTGGCCTGTCCAATTAAGAAAGAAGCGGCATTTCCGCTGCTCAGGAAAAAAAAACAAAAAAAACCTTTTCATTATCTACTGAAGTTAAAGTCTGAGTCAGATCACCAGTGATTAAAATAGTTACATCTGTTTGGCAGCGCAGATCAGCGGAATCAATTACATGTAATACCCTG